GAACCTTAGTGATGAAAGTGGTCTTTTTGCTGTTCTCCCAGTTTCAGCTGAAAGCACTGGGATGCTACCAAATCGCAAGGGTAATAGTCTTCTGAATTATAACACTTCAAATTTATGATATCAATGACCTGTGGTTCTAATCTGAACACACACCACAGGGAGCAGTCTGGAATGGAAATTCCCTTTCTAATATCTTTAGAAACAACAAATTTTGAAATTTTCGTCTCTAAACTATATACTTTTCTACATTGTCCAGATTATCTTCAATAATAGAAGTCATCACGGTGTGTGCTGCAAATCCTGTGGTCCTATCTTCAATAATATAAGTAATTGTCTTACTTATGCCTTTGAATGGTTGGCCAACATAGATGTCACTCATGCTCATGGCCTAAATGTGTATGATTACTCCAATATGGAATTGATTTTGGTTGGTTGTGGTGGGTGTATTTGGGATTGCGAGGTCACAATAAGTGGGCTGTTGGGTTAAACACATGCCATAGAAATAATCTTGAACTTTTATTGTACCTTCTCCTTGATTACATAGCATGTAAAATTTGCACATTAAAATCTTTATGCAAGATCCTTTGTTTGACAAGCACACAAATATAAGAAGTTGTTTCAACCTATAAGTTGAAAATGCCATTCTTTTTCTTAATAGATTTTGCAAGTAGTTGAGCTTTACATCTGATATTTATTTTTCCAAATAAATAACCCATGGTTGTGATGACAGAGAATGTTGAAGGATCAGACGTTGTGTTGGAAGCGATACTTGAAGCAGAGGTAGCACGCAATGCCAAAGATTTCTTTTCACAGCCTGCAATTCAAATACAGTGAAATGAGAAGGTTTTGCTTTATATACTCAAAGTGCTTATGTCTGGGTATTTTTTTGTAGTATTATTAGATATATAATTGGACAAGGTTTGTATTAGGGAATGCTCTGTTTCATTGTAGATGTAATTGAACAATGTTAAATTACTATTCTGAAGATGTAAAACTTTTGGAGATCTTTAAAATCGTTATTTCTTCTATCACAGGGACAACTTTCATCAACTTCATCATGTTGAATAATTGAATTTGAATATTTGATTAGCTAGCTAAGTAATGATTAAGTTATAATTAACAAGTTTCAAGATCGAATTATTCGAGGGTATATGTTGAGTGATGTTAACCACTTTAGTGAGCTTCTTATTTACAGGTGATTGATCGAGCTTGCTCCTAAATATTGTTTAACTAAACACCTCTCCGGCATGATCAGCTGAAAGATGAACATGCTCTTTCCTTGTTGAGAAATGGAGGAGAATATGTAGGGATTAGTTTTGAGAGAATTACCGGCTACAATGAGGGCTGCACTGGTTTGTTTGTTACAAAAAATATAACGGGGGTCATGGGAGAGGAATAGTATTGGGTCAAGACTGGGCTCAAAAGTAAAGCCCAGATTGAACTCTTCTGAGTTGGGTTGGCTTGTTCTAATACTGGGTTTGGACAAGGCCATTACCCACTAGGGCCATGCCCTTTATTTGTTGAAGTATGTAAATGAAATGTTAATATTTTCATCAAATTTTTTTACAAGCCATAGTCTAAACTATTCTAATTCAATCTAATCTTCTAGAAGGAGAATTCGAACTTGGGTGCAAGGGGGCGGGTTCACCCCATGAGCAACTGGCCTAATACACGTTTGCAGTACTCCAATCCTTTTAAGTACATAAGATATGACGAGGGATGAAGGCAAAGCCAACTTTATGGTACTTCTGAATTATAGTAGTATATAGGTTATGACTTGATCATTTACCTATTGCGAAAACTATTGATACTATGAATCCAGTGTAATTAATAGGAGATGGATTGGACTTCTCAATTCGATAACCCAATTATAATCTGAATCCGGTAATCCGATTATAAATGGATTCGAATATGGATTATAGTTTATCCGATCCGATAATAATATGATCCGACTTAATATGAAGTATAATTTAGTTTTTCTATGCTTTATATTAATATTTTATATGTGAAAATGAGTAATTTAGTTTTATATGCACTAAGAATACACTTAAAACTATTTAATTTTTATCAAACTTTGATGTAAAAAAATAGATAAATACAATAAAAGAACAAGACTACAAATGAAAATTTTATTTTTTTGTACATCTCAAAATAAATATGATAATAATCCAAGCTGAATCCGATTCATAACTGATATGGACTGATAGGTGCAATCCGATAATCCAATTATAAATGAATTCGGATTTGGATTGAGTTATATCCAAATCCGATCCATTTACAAGTCTAACCCTAAGCACTGGGTGGAGCCATACATTATTGGTAAGGGTGGCACCTTAGATCACTCAAGCTATTTTTTTATGTGGAAATTTATAGAAGTTTTTAACTTATTGCAAAATTATTTTGGGATTTCTTCTCAGTTTTTTTACTTTCACATTTGTCCAAGATCTGAGGTCTAGATATGGCAGCAAAAAAGATATGGCAGAGGGGAAGAAAGAGAAAGGATCTGAGATAAGAGAGAAGAGGGGAAGAGAGAGAGAAGAAGAAGAGAGAACAGAGAAGAGAGAGAAGGGCAGAGTGGAAGAAAGAGAAAGGATCTGAGATAAGAGAGAAGAGGGGAAGAGAGAGAGAAGAAGAAGAGAGAACAGAGAAGAGAGAGAAGAGAGCACAAAGAAGAGAAGAAAAGAGAAGAGAAGAGGGGAAGAGAGAGAGAAGAAGAGAGATGGCTGGAGGCATGCTCTCTAGCTTCGAAACCCACATTTGGGGTTGGGTTTCTAAGCCCTAATTATGTGGGACTTGGATTCAAGGCTCATATCTAGTCCTAGACACACTTTAAGCTCACCAAACAATGGCTAGGACTCATGTTCATTTTAATTGAAAATATCCAGTGCAATCCAGCCTACCAAACGGGGCCAAAATTCTCCTTTTTTCAAAACATAGAAAGAGCTATAACAATAATATAGCTTTTAATTCGTGAACTAATAAATGAAGAACCGAAAACAAAGTTTTAAAAAAGATTAATTTTAAAATATCAACATATATATTTTTTTTATACAAGCAATATTATTGGGGAAGGGGGGAATCAAACCTAGGATCTCATGTGCAAAGGTAAATACTCTTAACCACTTAAACTACAAGTTCTTTGTAAAATATCAATAAATTTTTGTCTTCTTACCTATTAAAAAAAAAAAATTCAGATATACAAAAACCTATATAATTAGAATCTCACCAAACAGATAATCATGTAAGAAATGTGTTGGGGATCACTTTGGGAAGGGGGCAAGTGCCCCCGATTGTGCTCAGGTGGTTCCTCCTTGAATATGATTGTAGTTAGGTAAAAGACTAAAATAATATAGTCACTATACATTGTCCCTATAATTTTTCTCCGTCTTTCCTCTCTAACCAACCCATTCGATCGATGCCCCAACAACTCAAACCTTTCATCTTTTCAGCTCTAATTTTCTTTCCATCAAATATATGGCGTGTGCATGAACTTGTTACGCTCTAATTATAGCAAACTTGTTTTAGTCCGGAAAAGAATGGTTTTCAATTCAATCAACTTTTCTAATACCAAATCGGTGCTTGAGCTTTCATTTGTAAATCCTCACTTGGAAACTTTAAAAAAGAGTGGTTTTGTTGCCTTCCGCGATCATTCGGTTCTAGTTATTTTATTAAACTGTAGTACCAACCTGTCAAAAATAATTGTTTTCCAATGAAAGATATGACATGGGGCTGCTACAGTGTCAGATCCAAGAAATCCATATTTGGTGGAAGAGAGAGAGAGCCCATAGACTTGTGATTTGCTTTATCTTGAAAAGATAAGTGCTACAAAATTATTGGCCTAAATCAAATGTTAGTGATCTCATGAAATTCAATCATGGTTATAAATTAATATATATATATAGTCCCTTTCTATTGAAGGATTTTTTAAATAATTTTATTTGAGGGACACCTTTTAAGGTCCCCTACGTGCTACAAAATTATTGGCCTAAATCAAATGTTAGTGATCTCATGAAATTCAATCATGGTTATAAATTAATATATATATATATATAGTCCCTTTCTATTGAAGGATTTTTTAAATAATTTTATTTGAGGGACACTTTTAAGGTCCCCTATAAATATTTTTTAATGATCCAAACCATCTATTTTTTAAGTCTATATTCATAGATCATCTTTGCAAAAAATTAGACAAATCGGAAACCGTTTTGATATCCAATTGTGTCCTACAAAATCAATGAATACGGTGCTTCAAGAAAATACTAAAATTTCAATAATTTAATTGAGTGGTTAAATGATATCGGATTCAAGTGATTTTTTGTAGAGATGATCTTTGAATGAGTATCTACAAAATAGACGGTTTGGATTAGTGAAATACAATACGAAGTGGGCCCTACAAGGATGTCCCTCAAATAAGCATATTTAAGGGATCCCTCAACTGAAGCTCCATGTATATATATATATACTTCCACGTTTGGTGAGTCAGATTGAACTGGACTATTTCAATTAAAAAAAGGGCATTATTTTGCAAACTAGTGGTCTTAAGATTTGAATCCTCATGACACCTTGGTACGTAGTGTATGTGAGAAAACCTCATTCCCCATTCCTAACTTTGGCAACAAAAGAAAAACAAGAATTCTGGCTGCTTTTTGACGAACTTATAAATGTTAAGACTAGACTTATTAAAATAGACAACAATCCAACATAAAAATAAAAATAAAAAGTCTCATCTATAACTACCATATCCCATTATAGAACTCAAACCACGTTCACTTAACACAGCCTACTTTCACCAGTCAGATACAGATATTTGATTATCATGAATTTATAAACAAATGGAATATAAATAAATGGCCATAAACGAAAGCCCCATCAATATGCACATGGCCTTGTTCCCTTCGCTCACTTGCCTCATCAATCTATTAGTACCCTCCTCAGGAAAATTATTGCAAAAATGCAATAAATTATTGGATACATCAACAGGAAATTGATCAGAAAATGAATGAAGAATCTTTCGAGAGGAAAAAAACGTAGCATTAATTTGAAGGAATAAAACACACAACAACTATGACAACAAGGTCAACAATAAAAAATAATGGGGGTAATTATAAAGAAATCCAATAGCAATAAACAAGGCAGACACTAGGTTAAGTTTATTGCTTCTTGTCCATTACAAATGTCCAGCATCTTTACTATCTATATACCATCGCATAAAAATACAGACACATTCAGAGAAACACACCCTGCTCCATCTCTTGGACACAGCATGCGCTTAAAATACTAGACCGACTGATCGAACTCAGCTTCTGTTTTTGCATTTCTCCATAGCCCTTGGAGCTGAAAATAAGTGAAACAAAAATAGTATTAGTAATATATAGATGAATAGAGTTAAATTTTCTGGTAGTATGTGGATCCGAACGGTCCCATGGTATTTTGAACCGAAGACTTGATGACCTTTAGCTATATCACAAAGCCAACAAATCTTGGAAACGGGCATTTTATACATGTGTAGAGGCAACTTATATAGAGAATTTTAGTAGTAATTTTATGCGGGCACATACCAAGTCCAATTGCTTCTGATCCTTTCATTATTCGCAGGCGCTTGCATGAATCAACAAACATCCTGCATATACAAAGTGAAATAAAGTTTGTCAATTAAGTGTAGCAGGATTTTTTTAATGCTCTTGAAAAAAAATTCTTCTTATTTTTTTGTGATTATTATTTGATTTAGGGTTTGTAGAAATAAGGGATGAAGAACTTACTCCCACGGAACATCACCCACGAGCATCCAATCGCCATCCTTATCCTCATAGGTTGGCACATACTCAGAACTGTTTAGTAGATCCATCAACTTGCTCTCATTCATGAAATCTATCATTCCTTGGGGCCCATAGTAACCTGTAAATATTCAATCCCAATATGATAATTAATTAATTAAAGAGTTAATAAAATAATAACAATGAAGTGACAATTAACAACCTATAGGTTGTAATGATCATATACCAACAAACGATTTCATCATGTCCACTAAAAAAAACAATTGCTACTCAAGATCTAAATTAAGGTAAATCTACAGTTTCTAAAGTAGGAAATTAAACATGTATTATTTCTTTTTCTGTACATGTTTTGCTAAGTAATTAATTTTTTGTGTTTTGGGTTTGTTGTCGAAGAGTTAATTTGATTGAATAATATATTTTCAAACTTACCCATGGTGAAGGAACTGAACATCTTGGCCAAGGAATTAGACAGCTCTTGGTAGCTCTTGTACATCTTCAAATCCACCTTACGAAGATATGGAGCACCATCCATGCAAACCTTCACAAACGCAGCGCTGCAGCCGCTTCCCTTCTCAGTGCTCTCCTCGCTGCTGCTCTTCTGCGCCATTATGTTCTTCCGGTATGATCGCACTGGTGGCCAACCCACAACTTGTGCCCTGAATTTTTTGGATTAATCATTTAATTAGTGCATGTTATAGCTACATAGAAATTATGAAGCCCTCATTGATGTCCTTATTCAAACACTACCCACAAAACCAAATGAAAGGAAAAATAAACTTAGAAAAACAAAATTAATTTACAAAATTTTCGGATCAAAAAATGAAATCAGTTTGTTGGAAAACTCCAGAAAATATACAAAAATAAAAGGGCAGGCTCACTGCCCTGGCTAACTGGCCTAACTCACAACTTTTGTAAATTCAAACATAGTAATTTATCAATATGTGCGACCCTATAAAGAATTGAGGTTAGATTATGTGCTAATATGCAGATAATCCCACTTACTTAGCTGGTGGCTTTGCTGGATCTTTTGTGCAAGTAAGGAGGTTGTTTTTTTCCTTGGAAGCAATATTTTTGACGTTTTCGTTCAGATCTTCCTTGGACTGAAGGTTCAGTTTGAGATCAATGGTCTCAGAGAAGCCTCTCTTTCCAGTAGCCCTGGGAGTCTCTGGCTCAGGCACAGTGCCCCCACCAGGCAAACCAAGGCACAGCTCAGTCTCTTTGAGATTCAGATCGCGCTCGACCCCAAGCATGTTCGGCATCTTGCGGCTAACAGCAGAAGCTGCCATGGAAACTCAGCCACGGCCAAAGAGAAAAGAAACAAAGAAAATGGTTTGATATAAAAAAAAGCTGTGCTTGCGCTAGCTTGTATTGGTGGTGATGCGTAGAGAGCTGCTGCTGCTTCTTTTTTTCTTGTGTCTTGTTGTGTTGTTGAGTTGTTTTTGGGCAAAGAGAGGAAGACCCCCACTCAATAATATAACTGCGTGGGACGCTTGTGTCTGTGTCTGCATGTGTATGTCATATCGAGTCTCTGATGGCCTGATGATTTGACACGTGGAGGTATTGGGAGCGTTGATGTTTTGAGGTTGTGCAGATGGTGGCAATCATTTGCCGACGGGATTAGATTTGGAGGTAGTGGCTAATATGGCTTCTATCTCCTGTTGTTGAGCCTTCAAGCTAGCTAGCTGTTTGTAGCTCTCAGAGTCAACCATCACATGCAACGCAAGGCAGCGGTCAGATGATTCATTTAAAATTAGAATAAAACTATTTCAATGATATTAAGAGTTACCAAATTAGAGATTTTGTTTTGATGTCTCTAGCATTAACCGTGATCTTCATAGTGATAGAATTTGTATGTAGGACCTACTTATATGAATGAGTTCCATAGTGCAAGAGATGTGGTTATTAAATAGTTTGTATTTTCAATCCTTTCAATATCCATCAAATGTCACTAGAGGTAAGGTTTATCGATATTGTCTTTTGGGAACTGCATGTTAGCACTCTAGAAAAGTCAGCATCTACATTTTATAGATATAATGGAGAAATTGAACTGTGAAAAGTGCATAATGACTTTCGATGTTAACACTCTAAAAAAGTCAGCAAGTATGTTTTATAAATATAATGGAGAAATTGAACTGTGAAAAATGCATAATGACTTTCGATGTTAACGCTCTAAAAAAGTCAGCAAGTACGTTTTATCAATATAATGGAGAAATTGAAATGTAAAAAGTGCATAATGACTTTCATAGGGTGTCAATAACAGTTCCCTTATCTTTTCTTTTGCATAACCATTAATTTTTTTTTTATATATATTTTAAATATGTTCATAATTGAAGGATTCCTGGTTATTGCAATATTCGACGATTTATTATCAACTAACTTCAAGTTTAGTAACTTTTCTCTTCATTTTTTTTGTACGTTCATAATTGAAGGATTCCTGATTATGGCAATATTTGACGATTTATTACCAACTAACTTTAAGTTTAGTAGCTTTTCTCTTCTCAAATGTTCAGAAAAGTTCTAAGTTGAACTCCCAATAATACTTATTCCAAATTTACAAATACAGTCAAGGTTTTAGGCCGACCAAAAAAAAGAGAAGAGAGCTGTTCTGAATTTTGTTGTGTGACGTTAGTTAATTAAATTGATTTGTCAAGAGCTAATTATGCACCAACCAAGGCACCGCGCTAGGTTTGTGCACATCTTGCTTTACTATATATCTTAGTTTCATGTGAGTGCACATGCCATCCCACTACGTGTGGCAGTGCTGCGCCAGCTACCTTGATTGGTTTTTTCAAGTTAGGAAATTTAGGCCCAAAAGGAAGAAGAAGAATGGAAAATAAAAATTTTAGAAATAAAATTAGTATTGTCTGAAATCTGGGTTCATGTTGGAACATGATTACGAGTTTAATTTGAGTATCATATAGTATATAGATTATGAATCTCCTATGGAATGAAATGTTCCACCCGACCAAGAAACGAAAAAGAAAAAGTTTGGTTCAAGTCACATTATATGCGTATTACTCTTTATGAAACTCACCAAACATTTATGAAGTACATATGTCTATCATTCAAAACATTTCTTAAAAATATACACTGCGAAATTCGCCCATCATATAACAATTTAAAATTATTTACGTGTATTAATCGTGTTAAATACATTTTACGTGTATAATTCATGAATAATACGTTTGCTCTCAAAAAACATGTATATTCTGTATAATTGAGAAGTTTACATGAAATATAAGTATTTTTAAGATATACATATAAATGTGTATAAGACGCATATTATACGCGAATTTACTAACTAGGATTTAATCCATGGGGCTGCAACATCAGTGTCATCTCTTATTTTTGTAATCCAAAAAACATAGAAGAGTGACAATACAACATTGATCAATTTAACAAAGGTGAGAATATTTTTGCTTCAACATAAGATACAAAAATCATATAAATTAGAAGCCACGTGTTCACTCGTTGATATATTGTGGATACTTTCAAAAGTCAAAACTATGTTGTTTTGGAGTATAAATGTTGAATATTTTGGAGAGTTTTGAAATTTTTATATTAGAATACAAGCTAGAAACGACGTACTTTCTTATATAAGTATAAAATATAGTATTTGGTATAATGATAGTTATTTCCATTTAATTGGATCTCAACTCAACTAGCCCTCATTCCATCTATCACATACCCATATATATATATAGTTATTCTTCATCCGAATGTTCGGACATTATTATCGCACGATAATAAAGTGCGGACATCCAGATGAGAGAATAATTTTATTTTATGCTGACATCCGTACGTTAATACCGTGTGGATGCCATGTGTTTTCTACTAACCCTCGCTATTTACAACGACGTCTGCACGGTAATAACGCGCAGACGTTCAAATGAGAGAATAACTTATATATATACATATTTTCTCCTATGTAGACTTCTGAATGTTATTACTATGTGGACGTCATGTATTTTCTATTATCCCTCCCTGCTTTCCTTCTTATTTACAATGGTGTTCGCACGGTAATACCGTTCGTATGTAAGAAAATCTCTATATATATAATAAATTAATCGTAACAAATGATGTATATAAAAACGTATTTCTTACATTATCAATGCACGTTCCTTTCACCCTGCCCTTTCCTTTTCTATAAATTTAATTAGTCAGTTGATAGTCGGGAGAAGCATATCATCACCACGACTAAGCCATTTGTAATCCTGTCCATATAGTACATGTGTAAATAGTTTATAACAACATCAATTTTCCAGGAACCTACCAATATGCATAATAGCACATGAAGGAAGAAGAAGATGGTTCTTCCATTGTAGAGAAACCAGAAAAGCTCGGGACGCAAAGAGAGGGAGAAATTGGAGAAAGTAATTTCAGAAACCCTAACCCTAAACCAGGGTGAAGGGTAACGCACCTGAGAGGGTCTGAGGAAGAAGGTCCATGGGGAGGCGGGTGAGTAACCGATCCACTCACCAATCAGTCTTTCTTCTACGTAGGAATGGTAGTTGCCAAAGAGTGACGGTTTTTGAAAACACTTATGTTTAGCTGTAGCTCCAGCCAATAAGATAGCGCCAAATTGACCAATGGCGCTTCACTTGCTACCTTTGCCCTAGTCTCGCCAGTAGAGGATTGCAGTGCGAGGCGTTTTTTTTTGGGTGAAAACCAAGGTATCCCCGCGCGATTGCGGGGACTAACCCTCGAGGTACTGTTGGGCGCAAAGCGGGGACCTCTCCCAACAAAGTCTGCTCTATTCGCAAGCGCCTGGGATCGAACCCAAGACCTCTTGAATATATTATTAATTTTTAATATATGTAAAATTGTGATTTACAAGTAAGGGGGAATAACGTCACAAATAGTGTATGCCTTGACTACTCATGAACATCAATCCCTAACTAGTGTTGGACATCATTTATCTTAAAAGTTTGAAGGCATGGTGATGACTTAGAGACAGGTCACATCCCCAGAGAAGGAAACATGCCAAACCCTAGCTGTGCCCTTGCCCTGTCAACGTCTTCCCAACCCCATTCTGGGTTGTTTCTAACCTACTAGTATATCTTAATTATCTCACTGTCTGATGATCAGGCATTATCCTGGCCACGAATTCTTGGAACAGTGGCCCAAAGGAAAAACATACCCTCTCCTCCTCCTCCTCCTTTTGGACTTGGTGGAGTCCGAATCAGATAAGAGTACAAGAAACCAATTTTTTCCCTTGAACTCCCAAACAGGTCCTTATCTAGTAGTAAAGAAAGTGACTTCTTTCGGATTACTTTTGGCAAATCTATTTTACAATGCACTGACCTAACCCAACAATTAATGGAGAGGTTTGGTGGTCCTGCTGCGGCTAAGCTTAAGATAGTATCAAATATCAGATCAATTCATGTTGACCATGTCTTTTTAAAAATAAAGAAAAGAAATACAAGTGGTAGTATAAACTACAAAGGGTAGGGGGATTTTTCATACATACACTACCAAGACGTCACCAGAGTTCAAATATGAGATTATTAGTGTGCAAGTCAAAGCCCTTTTTCACTATATATGCTAGACCTCGTTTATCATGTCTTTTAATTAATGCATACTTTAAAGAGATTACTTATCATTTTGACTTTATTCTTTTTGGGTAATAGGCATTAACTTCTTTTTCTTTTGATATAGTCATTAGCTAATTAACATTATGGCAGTCAGATAACTCTTGCCCTTGCATATTCATTCAACTTTCGTTATGAGAAATATTTTTTTTAATCAAAGAACAACTTAATTAAGTAGATAATCTTCAACAATACAAACTAAGACATCAACACGACATTCAAAATATCAAGCTCGAGATGACAACAAAAATTAACATGCTAAAAAGCAGACAAAAGCTGCACTAACAACTACTAGTCCACATCACTACAATTAAGCATAATCTCAATCAAAGCCCACAAAACCCAACATAATTGAACCCCAACAACAACTCAGGAACCTAAATGAACATGATCAGCACCACTTGAAGAAGAAGTGTCGTCGCGGTCACATGTACATGATAATTTATTCAATGTGGGACAATTCTTCATACATTTAAAATAATTTCAAAATGACACCACTCAATTGCCACCTATATCCATATCATTTTAGGTTGGTAACACTCAAAAGTGTGAAGTGTTTGTTCATTAATATATAAGGTTATATAAGATACACGCGTAATGGCTTTTGAGCTTAGGCCCTAAGGCGTTTCAAAATCCGTTGCTTTACAATCCAAAGTTGATCTGTTTTGATACTTTTGCAAAGCAGATACATGTACGAAATTAACTAATGTTTTGCATTGCCTAATAATTAATTCGATCAAAGCACTCACAATGAGCTAGTTTATTCAGAAGATGGCCCCTACCTCCTCCCAAACAAAATGTACAAGAATCTTCTCCGCAATAATATTATTCCATATGTTGGTAGAACTTGGGACAGTGGATACCACAGTGGGGGCTGATTAGTACACTTCTTGCTCA